AACATTCGAAATATATTTCTGACCAATAAAGACAATGACGTATTTGTTCCATGCGGTTCCAAGTCCGGGAAGGTCACTATATCATCAGCCTTGATCTTGCGCAGCACGTGGTTGGCGTCACGTGTAAAGGTCTCGTACTTCCCGATAATATCGTAATGTACATCACAAGGCTTGCAAAGCTCTTCATACGTTTGCCAGTGAACGTCAATGTTTTTCTGGTGGCTTAAGACAAACCTCACAAAACTTTGAAACGATTGTATCTTCGAATTTTTTCCATCAATTTTATCGCGATATGCGGTCAGCAACCGTTCAAATGGATGCCTTACAAATATTATTTTTGTATATGTTTGAAGGCGCCGTACTCTACCTTCTAGATCAAAGCTTCCAAGTTGTTTGAATTTCTTTTTGTAAATACCCCATGTACTGTCCTTTATTTCAGCAGTGCTGTTGTAGCGCCCTCCCATTACCATCAGCACTCTTCGCCAATTTGATGTTGCAACTTTGGGAACAGGACAGTAAATCAGTTTATACTTGTCATCGACGTACATTTCATGGGACAACTGCAATTGTCTATAATTGTCTGTCTGTATTTTCCCTCTTTCAGCAGCCATCATGTTTTGTTCACGAGCGTTTGAACAGTTCACATATTTATTAGAAATCTGTATACTAGTATTTTGCAGCTGGTGACATGTACATCGCAGAAATGACAGGCGTCTGCGCATGTCTGTTTCGACCATCCGGGTTCTAGATAAGTTCTGAAAAATAATGGTTCTCATATAATGGAAAATATATAAGGAAATATGATTATCATTGCATATATTATGTGAATGAATGAAATTTGAAGTTATGGAATAGTAGAAATTATTAATTGTGGACGATGCTTTTTCCAACTAGTGTATAGAGAATTAGAATGATCAAGTTCCAGTCAGCTAGTATACTGCTTGTAATTTTATCATCAACGGACGATTTAAAGTTACATTTTTATCACCCGGCAGGCGAGTATACCGTGAGTCAACAATACAGACGCCATCTTGCACTCAAAAAAGTGAGTTTGTGGGCTAAACATAAAAAACAGATTCAGTTTCAATAATAATACAAATTTGCATAGTTGGTACATGCAAACATTAGCCACACAAGCTAGCTAAATCAAACACACATAGTGCATTCTTCAATTATATACTCGCATCTGCATACACACCAATACTGTTTAGTATGTGTATTAATGCTATAAAAACGATTCCGACAACATAATCCTCAAGCTACGTTGATAAAAAAAATACGATTTCAAACACTAGAGGGCGCTCGATTATTTTCTAAAAAATACCTCTGGTCTAATCATATTCAAAAGAAAGTGGTAAAACACTTATAGCGCACGTTTTCTAAAAAGAAATAATGGCCAAAATTAAAATGATTTAATGTAGTTTATTATGTCCTCTTCATAGGAATAACTTGTAAATTTACCTTACCTTGCCTGCAAGTGACGTTGTGTTATATATTGGCATTTTGTCCAAGGTCAAATTGCTTGCATTTGATCGTGAGTGAAAATCTAGAAGCCTTGCGTCTCTCAAATCGCCTGCAAATTATATTGAAAATCAGATTAATGCAGAATACAGACGTAGATTCCCATCATTACTGACCACATATGACCCCACTCACTAGATTTATCTTATTGACATGGCTTTATTAGTGCACAACATTTGGTAAAAATAATTAACTATTTAGTCTCAATCTTTGATTCAGATTAAATGTAAATTTGAATGTATTGTTTAAGTATTCAAAATCAAAGGAAGCACTAACAGCTAGCCACAATTTGATTTTATTTACGCCTTCTATCTCAATGTACCTACTGCTTTTGTGTCAGTGAATATTGGCTCGTTCATGTTAACATGAGACCGGTCACTGGTAGCATAGTGGTTGTCGCACAGACTTATGATCGGTAGTTCAAATCCTACCTT